AGGAGTCGACTAATTAGCGGCATCCTTCGAAGTCTGACTGCATCTGCTTGAGAGGCAAGGAACCAAAAGTCTGCATACAGATAAGCCACATCTGTAAAGCAGATCTGCACTCAACACACAGGTTCTGGAACAAGACTAAAGTGCAGAGGTGGAAAAACCAGAATTTTCTACCAGTGTTTACAGCCGGTAAACGCAAAGCAGAACAAAAGAACAGTTTCAAACAGCCAGCCACTTAGCAAAGATCAATTAAATTTCAGGAATGGAAACGTAGCAGCAGCAGCAGCAATCTTTAACATGGAATAAACAATATTCTCCAATATATAACAGAATGGAACAGTCAATGGTAGTCTAATACAGTGTCAATGTTTAAGCTCAAATCCACTATCAAAAGATAAAGTAAAGTAAAGGACCCTTTTCCCCACCAGCGGCTCATCAGGCATACAATGCTAGGACCTATGTTTACAGGCTAACCCTGGCACTTAAGGGGAGATGTGGTCAACATCACTAGCAGCTTTTACTTTCCAGGAAATTTCTTGGGCACCCATTTTAGGATGGGTCAACACGGAAGCCAAGGGCATTTTGTTTTTCCTCTCCATTGTGGATCTGAACCCAAGACCTTCGGGCTGACTGCCAGGCATCTAGCCACTGAGTTAACACAGCACCCAAATGCATCGTTACAAACACTGAATTCTATAAGGCAGTTACGCCAGCGTTTATATGCTAATCAACATTCTATTTATAGCATCTTTACTGAGATTAACAATAATTCCTAATATTACATAAATATAAACATATTATAGCTACATTAAGAACAACAGGGCAGGAAAATTCACAACAGATAAAACACACAAAAAGCCAAAAGTGGCATGCAAACAAGAATGCAAATAAAGATATTTATCAAGCTTTTCAAATTAAACAGACTGCCAGATTGGCAAGTGAAAGCCAAAATAAAATATAACACTAATTGCCAGTTTGGAAAAAAAAGAAAAGCCAAATTCAAATGAAAAAGTGCATTCCAGAACACTACTCTAAGTTAATGCATCAGAGGTAGAGCATGTTATGACAAACTCCTTTGCTGCAGACACTGCATGGGTTAAGGTCAAATCTGCGTTCAAGCTAAGTTAGGGGAAATCAGAGCACGCACACACGCATAAATTCAAGGTTACAGTGAGGGGAACTCACAAACTATGTGGATTAAACATGTCGGATTCTACCATTAACAAAACTGTAACTAACAAATATTACAGACATGCATCACTGACTGCTCCTGGAAGTTATTTGTACACACAATGAAAAACAACTATTCTCACACACAAACCCACCACCAACTTACTGTCGTTGAAGCTGGAGCCTTTCTGTCCCATAGAGATACAAATAGCCACAACAGGGGGAATGAATCATCTCCGAAGAAGAAGCCAGGTGTAGAAACGTAATAAAGCTAGTTTATGAAAAATGCGGCTGGCGCAGACTCGGCCACGGGTTTCCTGACAAAAAGCGCGCGTTAAGGTCGAGGTATCTTCCTGACAATATTCTGTTATGCGCTAAGTGCAACTTTCATACATCATCAATACGACATGCTACGGACAACTAGGGTAAACATACAACCCCTGGGATGAACAGGCATTACATGAATAGGTACACAGAAAATGAGAACCCTAGAGAACAGTAACATAAGGAGAAAAATAGATACCTTGGAACGATACCTCTGAGAAAAGCAACTGTGGATAATAAGATCTCTTACGGAATTACGCTGGAGAGATACCTCTATTAAAAGAATCTCTGAGTAATATGTCTTAGGGAATTACTTTTGTTTAGATACCTCTTAAAAAAAGACAGGGGTCATAGAAAGACATTACTCAAGCACAAGTTGACTGAAGATATCCGACAAAAGCCTGGATCATGTCTGACAACAAAATGAAAGTCTGAGTGTACTATAAGATCTCTCAGAGGACTAACTTTGCAAAGATTCCTCTGAGTAAAGCATATTTGAGTAATATAAGATCTCTCAGAGGACTAACTTTGCAAAGATACATATGAGGAATGCATATATGAGTAATATAAGATCTCTCAGAGGACTAACTTTGCAAAGATACATATGAGGAAAGCATATCTGAGTCATATAAGATCTCTCAGAGGACTAACTTTACAAAGATACATATGAGGAAAGCAGCTCTCAGTGATATAACTTTCAAAAGAAGGCCCCGAAAAACAAACTAGTAATGATACAAGACCTCTCAGGAACTGAGACCATACTGTGCATTGAAACAGATATAAAAGGAAAGTCTACGGCCTCAGCCAGCTAAAGATGCCCAAGGTATCAACCGAAAGAAAATAGAAGCATGACCGATTAACAGCAAAGCTAGCACTCCAAGCAAAAAAAGAGTACAGAGACTAAAAGGTGATGGGTATTATTTCTGTGTCTTTCTCATTTTGCTTAATTTTGACAAATCAGTGAACAATGTCACCATCTCACTTTACAGTGCCCTTTGTGTACAGCAAAAGAGTTCCTCATAACTAATTTACCCAGCCTCATAGATACAACATAAATTGCAGAAAAGAGAAAAAAAAACCTATCACAAATAATCTCACAACATAAGCGTAATGAAAACAAATTAATGAAAGCCAACAGTTATACATAAAAATAAAATAAGCACATGTCACAACCAACTGTGACAGCCATTTTGGAATGATCTTGTGTATCATGTGACTTAACACAGACTTCTACTCTTCCCATGAACCCTTGTAGCAACTCTAAAGAACCCAGATGCCACTATTTATCTACAAGAAAGCGCAATTAGCGCTACAGAATATTGCCCTTCATGAAGACACCTTTTCTCGTCACTAATCGAAAGCAGGAAAAAACTCACATTACAATATATATAAATTTATTTATATAAAACTGCATAATTGTATATATAAGTATAATACACACACACACACACATACAACTCAAACCAACAGTATATGTAAGAAAGTGAAAGTACAAATCACAACAATAATGACAAAGCAACATACATTACTTAGCATAATGTAAAAACAACAAATATCCAACAATGGATAATTAAAGATAAAATTTAAAATACTGACAAAGTAAGAAACAAGCTTAAAACAAAAACAAACACAATGAGAGAACAATGACAAATAAAACATCATAGCATAATAGCAAAGAATGACACACAAGTCAACTTGTTTTCTCCAGGTTCCAGTGTACTGTATTTATTGTGCATGTTATCAACCCCTTTGATGCAAGGACATCAATTTACTTCTATGTATGAAAAGCATCCCCCCCCCCTTTTTCCCGCCCCCTTATTTTAAATTTTACTGACTTCAAGAGAGATTATGGACATCACTGTGGAATGTTGGAATGTTACGGTATACCTATAAAAATAATAATCACCAAAGCAATGTATGCAGGCTCACAGGCACAGTGCAAATAGATAATGGTTCAGGAGACTGGTCTGCAGTGGAAGCCAGGGTGAAACAGGGATGTATTTAATCTTGCTTCAATTCTAACATACGCCAAGAAAACTGGAAAACCATTGAAGATATGGAACATATTTTGACAATGCATTCAAAAACAAATGTCTAAGGAAACTGATAAACATTAAATGGGATTAATTCAAGACAGGAAAAGAAAAAACACGCCTGGACAATCACTACTAATGACAACTATAAGACAAAGAAGATCATGGTATACTGGGCAGGTCCTGAAGAGAAGCTAACAGAGCTTAAATGAAGTGGGGAGAGGGGAATTGGAATGAGGAAACAAGGACAGACAAAGAAACCCTTGAGTTGAATGCTGATAAAATAGGTCATGGTGTGCTGACCTGATTTGCTTTCATGACATGAGACAAACTGCTCAGGATACAGCCAACTGGAAGAATAAACTGCAAGCCCTATACCCTATATCATCTCACAATGAAGACAGATGGACAGAAACCCAGGTCACAACATACCAGTTTTTAATCATTTTATTGACCTGAAACTGCCACACGACATGAAAATGTGCTATATTCTGCTTTATGTTTATATTTACCGGATCAACATCATGGCACACGGGTGTAACCCATTGTGCTCCGCTCTACTTCTTACTCAAGCCTGAATCTGAAGAATCTCAGCGCAGTGCTAGAACTCTGTTGCACTGACGAGGATCCTGAAATACTTTGCATAGATTTATAACTCTTAATTTTGCCCGGGCAGTGCAGTTAGGCTACTCTTTTTCGATTTTCAACTACCAAGGAATTTTTCATGTGTGGAACAATACACATGGGCGTCCGGTCTGACTACCCAGAAACCAGGAAAAATTACTAGAATTCCATGTGAAAAAATCCCAGCCTTCACCGGGGTTTGAACCCAGCACCTTCATCACTCGAGGCGGATGTCATACCCTAAAACCACTCAGCCCAGTATACTAATTATCTTTATGGAGTCTTTTAATGCTGTAAATATGGTGCTTGGCCCATATCTGTAGGCTGATCACACCAACTGGTGTAGACTCACACTTCCTGTGACCCTTTAAGGTTTGCAACTCCTTGCCGAACACCATTGGCTTTCCACCTGAGCACGGCTGCTGTCTCACAAATCAACAGCTGCACCAACATATTTGAGCTAAGATAAATACAGATGATTTACTGAGGAAAATCAATATATTTATTCTTCATTTTCACAACTGCTGATCTGATTTTAGCATTGTTTATTGAAACACTAGTTTCAGTGCAGGCACTTTTATTCAATTCTGAACCCTACCCCTAGTACTCAATTACCATCATAGTCTTATTTTCTGCATCATTTTCAGGTAGAACATTACATGCACTCACACCATTATATGAAAATAACCCAAGCACAGAAAACACACATTCTAATTATCAACATATAAAAACACATTTAATCTAACAGCAACAACAACCAGTACAAGATAACCAAAAGAAGTTAAAAAAAACTGCAACACTGTACATATTAACAATATGTAAAACAACAATGTGACAAACCATGGAGCCTACCTGAGCCGACAGTGCTGGGGGTGCCTGGAGATTCTGTGCCACTCTTATCCAAGGCCATGCTGGTACCGGCTTCTTCAGTGGCTGCTCCAGAAGGAGGACTAGGAATAGCTGTTTCTAGAGTTGGTGGTTCCACTTCAGGGACTGAAGGCTGAGGAGCAGGTCATTGCACCTGATTAATTAATCAGCCAGATTATGATAGCTGATGTAAAAGAAATAACATTTTTTTTCTTTCATTTTCTTCTCTTATGACCTTTATCCCCTCACTTGGATGATTACACTCAACCAACTCATTCTATCCTTTTTTCTACTAACCAGCACCGGCACTCTCTCCATATTATTATTTATTAGTGCTCAATGTGGTGGCCGGGGGATAAACAAACATACCACACCTTTAACAAGCATGTCATGGAGGGTGACTTATTGAAGGGTTTGCTGAAATCAAATGTTCGGCCAAAAGGTGTCCCTCTCAGACAAGCTGAAAACCACAAAAGAAAGTGTGAACTGCCCTTTTAAGGACAAATGCAAAAGATCTCTGAACATCATAATTTTTCTTCTGGTCTGTTTATTGTTTTGAAAGAGTGTTCGCTCTTCCATATTTCCTTTCCATGCTAATGGCACATGGGGCATATAAAGCTAGACTTATAAAGACTAAATTGACGCCAGATGTGTGATGTAAGTCAACATCACGCAGGACGCCTTCACTTCCCATGACTTTACATGGTATTCACTTAAGGCTGGGTTGACCTGGGAATCTTTTTAACCCATAATTAGGAAATTAATAGTTTCAACACATTCTGTGTATAAGACGAACCCCAATTTTAAACTTCAACAATGTGGGAAAACATATCCTCTTAGACATAGAAAAATATGGTATATGGTTGTGTCAACAAAGAGAAACTAAACTTTTAGTCAGGAGAAACAATTTTTAGTGGGGATGAAATCCACACTGTGCCGGTTAAGAAAGTCTACCACTGACAGTCAGCATCTGTGTCTTACAATAAATACAGTTCCATAATTCTAACATCCTGAGTTCAATTTATATGCAGGTGATTTGACACTGATAACAGCCCCCCCCCCCCCCCCCCCCCCCCCCCCCCCCCCCAGTGGCATCATTACCAGCAGCGAAATTTCCTCGTAAAGCAACATTTAACCAACAAAAGCTGAGACTTTTTAACACCCTGAAGATATATGCAACTATCCACTGACAGACAATACAGGCTGCCGTGGGGAAGCAGCTAGATGCTCATCTTCCGATCAAAAGGTTGTGTCCTGGCGAAACCAGACTTTTTAAAAAAACGACTTGGCTCCTAGGTTGACCCAGCCATGAGTAAAGACAGCCATATCAACCACCAAGTGCCAACTGGTCTATAAAAATATAGGTCCCTGCCCTACATGCCCAATATGCCTGAAGGCGTGGAAAAGTGCCCTTTACTTTTTACTGAAAATGCAATCAGTACTCTCATGGCACATATGAGTCTAAATAGATTTAAAAAAAAAAAGAAGTTTCAGAATCAAAAACGTGAATCAGGATATATAAATATGTTTTTAATATTACAGCTTTCATAACATATCTTGTTAACACTTCTTCGTATGTAGATAGTGCTGCATGAAACTGAGTATGGAACCATTTATTGCAACGGCGGCAGACAGCAGGGCTGTTGTGAAGCCAACCAGGATTCCCCACAGACAATCAGCAGCTCTGCTCTGTGGCTTCTTTGATGCGGTGGCACAGACTGACCACTTGTCAACTTTGAGTGATGTCAATTCTTCATTATAATTATAAACTGAAAACATCCATACTGCACTGTGGTCATATCCATGTGTGCTGTTTTTCTGATCATACAGCAAAGTGTAGATTAGTTGAACCTTGAAATTGACCCTTTATCACCCTGTACAACTCTATCACAGATATTCCATATTTGTATCTTGCTTCTAGCAGCGAGAGGTACATGATAACTGCAATATCATCGCTCAAAAGTTGGTAATTTATTGCTGTTAATGTGCTCACATATGGTCGTAGACCACGAGGCAGACCAAGAAGCTCTGGACAGATAATGTCCAGACAGACCTGCAAACACTCGGTCACCAACTGGAAAGAGAAGGCCAACCAGAGATGAATGGAGGCGGGCGGTATCTGCAGCGATTAACCTCAAGGGTTCGGAATGCTGAAGAAGAAGGTGCTCACATACTTATGCTCAGTCTGCCCAATATAATTCCTAAAATACAGCACTCTGTAACTTGAGTTTATGTTAATGTCTTTTCTGGTACTTACCACATTTGGCAGGACATCCTTGTTCTGTGTCATCTCAGCTGATGTCTGAAAACAGAAAAAGGAGATTTCAACCAATAACAAAAACAAAGGATGGCTGAGGTGTTAAAACACTCACCTCAAACCTTGTACAATATAAATTTTAAACTAAGCAAGACTGTCTTAGAAGACAAGTAAAAGAAAAGTAACATAAGAATTTTGCAGATTGTATCTATCTACAAATCATAAACACACAGTTCTGTAAAAGTGAAATATTTCTTGTGAGGTTACAAAGATGTGAAAGTCAAACTCCCTCCCAAGGCCAAAACGGGCATGAAATTAAATGAAAAGCTATATGGAGATCTGCAGAAGCACATGCAAACACTCGTTCGTGACTCACAAGGAGGTATGAACCTATGTGTTTGTGTTCATTGTGTCCTGCAGAATCCCAACATACCATTTCTCTCATGTTATCTAGCCATACCCTCCTGATAATTCTACTCTTTAGGACAAATATGAAAACTTAATTCATCCTAAGGCTACACAAAGTCCCGCTCACTAAAGCCCAAAACCCTGCTGAAATCACTATCTGTGAAAGCTGTCATCTACTGTCTGGTATCAGTTTTAAAAAAAAGGGGCCATTTTATTACCACAGGTGCTTCAGGCATATGGTGCTCAGCCCAGAGACCAATGAAAACCCAATAGGTGAGAGGGTTGTAAACATGTCAAGCACCTTTACTTTCCAAGATGTGTCCTCACACTCACACTTATATCAACCTGGTTTAAATCCACACTTAACATATACAAAATCTGTCCCCATGTGGAAAGTAATTTTTTGTTAATTTGAAGCTCTACACACGGCTGTGGTCGGGGACCCTAATATAACCCAACCTATGAGCTGAACGAGGTTTCTGGGACCTGTCCCTAGTTGATCCTCATCCATATGGTGGCACTTTGTGTCACCACGTGTTTATTGCTCAGTGTGATGTCGGTCAATCAATCCACAGCACTGTTTAATGTATCTAGGTGTTAACTCTTCCAGTTGCAGGCAATGCATGATATGAGAATGAATGTACCCATTGATTTTTCTCTACTACTTAATGTGCTCTCTTACTTTTAACATTTAGTCAGAACTTAGTAAAAAAAAACTGGCTTCTCTCTGTGATTACTACAACTGTGTATATTACCACATTGAAAGTAAAGCATTTATTCTTTTTCATTCATGACTTTTTCTTCACTCTGGTATTTCCTGCGAAACCTTCAGGTGCGCTGGGAGCCACCGTGGTGTAGTGGCTCGACACTTACTTGTGGATCCAAATGTTGTGGGTTCAAATCCGAACGAAGGTGGATTTTATATTAAAAAATGACCTTGTTTTCCATTTCCAGGTCAACCTAGCCTAAAATGGATATGAGGTAAAGTCCTGAGAAGTATAGGTGGTTGGTGTGATGCTGACCACACATCACCCACCCAGTGCTAATTGGTCTATAAAATATAGATCTAGCCCTATATGCCCACCATGCCTAAATGCGCGGAAGAGGGTCCTTAAATTCACTTCTGGTGCACTGAAATAGTTAATGAGAAAGAGTACTCACCACATTGGCATTCTGGTCTACGTCCATTGGTTCACTGTTCTCAGTGACAGGCTCAGGGGCAGTGACTTCTGTTTCAGCAACCTCAGCAATTCTGTCTCCTACAGCCTGCTCAGCCTCTTGGTGAGCCTGGGTATGAGGCCTTTTTCTGTCATCATCTTGCTGATGTTGAACCTGCTGCTGCTGCTGCCTCAGCTTCAATTCCTCTTTGACGGCTTTGGCCACCATACTGTTAAACATGTCCTCTGTGATCTGCGGCTTGCTCTCACACAACTAATGAAACAACAAGCTATCTATTAACTCCAATATGGTGATTATCATCACTGATTCTGCTTTCTACTTCTTGACCTATTTTACTCATGTGGCTTAGGGGTTATCAAAACAGTTTCGTAATTCTGATTTACTGAGGTTTAAAGTTAGCTGCAGACAATTTTGCGGCAGATCGCTTTACGTTTATTTTGGCAATGGTATATAATAATTGACTGTTTAGAAATATGTGATGAAAAATTGAACATAAAACTGCCTAGTACCTAGTAAAATACACACAGCCAACATATGGCCTTTGTGACATCCTGTCAAGGATATGCAACTTGTTACACATAAACGGAATAGAAGTTTCTCTCTATGCCTTTGACTGAAGCAGATCTTGTTTATTTTGTCATTTTGTTTTTAAAATACACAAGGCAGACATTCTTCTCCAAGAAAGACAAGCTAAAGAGTACCATGACAGAATATGTCAAAATTAAATTTTTTTTTAAACTTACTTTTTTTAGATCTTGATGAAATGTTTCACTGGATTCCAGGAACTTTCTCTTCTTCTGCTCATGCTTCTCTTCTATCTGCTGCAGCTCTCCTTCCAGCTTTTTCTGGAAGATTCCCACAAGCAAAACTGAATCATAATCAACACATAACTTCTGTATTTTGTATGGGCATCTGGTTAGATCAACTGACACCAAAACCCTGAGGAAACTATAAAAGTTTGACAGGATTAGACAACACAAATTGTAGATTGTTCTTTTTAATTTTAAAGAGCGCCAAACATATGGATGTGTACGGTTGAAAGGTTTTGGTGCCTTATTTTTTCAATTGTGCTCACATGGATGTGTACGGTTGAAAGGTTTTGGTGTCCTATTTTTTCAACTGTGCTCACATGGATGTGTACAGCTGATTTTGCATACCATCCAAGTGTCACAGCAGTTTCTCATGATGATGTAGATACCCAAAGACCATGTGCTGCATACTCTACCTGCCTCAGCTGGCATGAGAGTTCTATATTCTTCTTCACGTTCACTGTCTTGTGATACACCCACTTCTTTTTTCAGATGTACCTACATCACCTCTGTCATCAAGTATATCATCGTTGTTGCTACTTTCAGTTGTGGTATGACGATAACATTCACAAGTGAATCTCTACTTTTCCAAGAATTATCTTTTTCAGCGCTACATTTGATGGCAGATTCTAAATAATCAATACTATGGGTCTGGTTTTTGTAATCAGACCTGACAAAGGGACTGAATATGCACTGGTAATGGAAATTATCAAAAATTCATCGAAAACAATGCTTGTATCAACTCAAGCGATATCGATCGTAGGTGCAGCCATCCTGGAATAAGAAAAATACCTAGATAAAGCTGAATTCGAAAAACTATCGGTAGAGATGTCTGTCTGCAGTCCACATGTCACAAATTCGCTGATCACCAAGGGATATGACCGGAAATTCACAGATCATCGAAGTTGGTCAGCAAAGTGTGAACTCCTTCACTCTGATGCTTCAGCATTGCTTCCCATCACAAAACCCAGAGCAGCCGATAATTCAGCAAAACGGCTTTAGCCAGTCTTGTAAAGGACCCCTTGCATGATTTTGGCACACTGCTAAATATGTATTTTATAAAAAGATCTATCAGCACACGATTGGTAAAAACACTGGCCGCCTTTACTTCCAAGAACATGAGCACATACACATTTTAGGCGTAAAACAACCTGAGTGCCAAGGTCGATTAAAAAGAAATTTGCCTTAATTAGGATTTTAACCCTAGACCTTTGTGCGGACATGTGAAGGTTGTGCTACTTCTACCCTAAAATATTTCAAATTAATCTTATCTACTGAACACGGACAGAACTACAGTAAACACCTTCAAGTGACGTACCTGGTGCATAGTTAGAGACTGCACCTGCTTCTTCAGTACTGTCATTCTGGTCTCTGTGACCACACTCCTGACATCTGGCACGACAGTGTCACTGAAGATTTCATTGATCAGCTGATGATTACGAAGGTAGCGAGCCTGGGCGATGTGCTTTGTCGTGAAACCATCTTCCAAATCTGAAGGGAGAAAATAAGAAATATGAGACAATAACTTGGCAAGAAAGTTACTAGTTTTGCATAACACATGGTAGAGATGTAGGGAGAGACAAGTAGAGTATGCAAGACTACTTGAATAGATAGATATGTGCACATATTTATTTACAATCCTCCCCGTGTGGGTTCCGGGACCCCATCATGGGGGAAGAAAGAAAAGACCCACTGCCCCCTGGAAAGCATGTCGAGTGAGTCTGCTAATTAAAGTTGTTTCCCTTGAAGCTGGAGTACATATGCCTGAAAGGGAAGGAACCAAGAGACTGCATACACATCTGTGAAATGGATGTGCACACACTCAGCTTCTGGAACAAGATTAAAGTCCAACAGTGGATGAACACAACTTTCCACCTCAGTTCACAGCCGGTGAATGTGAAGAAGAAGATTTACAATCTATATCCAATTTAATACATACATTTTTTTTTCTTTATATAGGATGTTCCATAAATCCAACCATAGCCAAAGTTTCAAAATAATTGTGTTCCACATCCTGAGAGTTTGTGCAGTTCGTAATGTGATAATATTTAGTCATAGTCAAGGGACTTATAGAACACCCTACACTTTTGTGCAATTATATGCTTTCCTTTTTACAGTAATTTAAATTATTATTTTATCTATTTCTTCTTCTTCGCATTCACCAGTTGTACACTCTGGTGGAAAGTTCTGGTTGCTCGTCCACTACCGAACTGCAGTCCTGCTCCAAAACCTGAGTGTTGCATGTGCATCAGTTTTACAGATCTCATTCTCTTGAATACAGACTGTTGGTTCCTTGCCTCTCCGGCAGATGCACTCCGACTTCAAAGGAAGCTCCCCAATTAGTCGACTCTTACGACATGCTTTTGGGGAGGCAGTGGGTCTATTCTTGTTTTCCCCACAATGGGGAACCGGAACCCACACAGGGGATTTTATCTATTTCATGCTGCAGAATTCCTATATTTCAGTAGTTTCTAATTCCACAGATAAAGAGTGTTTGTGAGAAGCTGAAGCATTACCTTCATCATCTGGTGAGGGAAGGATACTGATTCGTGATCCTTCACTTTTTGAAGCCTGCAAATACAAAATAAAAGTATCCATGAGGCAGCAATCAAACAAGTGTTAAAACAGTAAGAAAATGAATCTGAGAAAGCTAGTAACTCATTCATACTTGCAGAATTTCAGCTTTCACTACTGATCACTTTCATAAAATATCTGGACACAAAAAGAATTGTTCCTATTTTTCAAATTTTCACTTATTAACTCATCTCTCACTTGTATTTAAGATTCTGAAGTAGATTAGCGAAAATAAAACGTCACAGACCACGTTGAGTGGAAGAAGAAAATACGGAAAGGAAAAAGAATAAGGGAAAAAAATTGACAGCAGAAAGGTTGAGAGTTGAGCGTCTGAGAAGAAGCACATCAAATACATGTGATAGCAACAACGGTCCTAAAATCCCATGCTCTAACGCCACAGGCTATGATTCTCATGCCTCACCGTAACAGAATATAAACATTTTAAAGGGAAAGACGGAAAGGTGCCAAACAATAGCAACCATGTTTGCACACACACGCACTCTCTCTCTCCTCACTTTAACTCTGATTCACTGACACAATTGTGTTTAAAGCAAAACTTACAGGTTTCTGAGCAGACGGTGGGGGCCGTTCCGGTCGAACTACAGGCTCATCTTCATCAACAGCCTCTCTCTCAGCTGTTGTGAAAGATGAATTTGTCAATAAACCACAGCAACAGACACTAAAGCATGTACAACACAGCAACAGACACTAATGCATATACAACACAGCAACAGACACTAATGCATATACAACACAGCAACAGACACTAATGCATATACAACACAGCAACAGACACTAATGCATATACAACACAGCAACAGACAGTAAAGCATATACAACACAGCAACAGACACTAATGCATATACAACACAGCAACAGACACTAATGCATATACAACACAGCAACAGACAGTAAAGCATATACAACACAGCAACAGACAGTAAAGCATATACAACACAGCAACAGACACTAATGCATATACAACACAGCAACAGACAGTAAAGCATATACAACACAGCAACAGACAGTAAAGCATGTACAACACAGCAACAGACACTAATGCATATACAACACAGCAACAGACACTAATGCATATACAACACAGCAACAGACACTAATGCATGTACAACACAGCAACAGACAGTAAAGCATATACAACACAGCAACAGACAGTAAAGCATGTACAACACAGCAACAGACACTAATGCATATACAACACAGCAACAGTCACTAATGCATATACAACACAGCAACAGACACTAATGCAAAAACAACACAGCAACAGACACTAATGCATATACAACACAGCAACAGACAGTAAAGCATATACAACACAGCAACAGACAGTAAAGCATATACAACACAGCAACAGACACTAATGCATATACAACACAGCAACAGACAGTGAAGCATATACAACACAGCAACAGACAGTAAAGCATGTACAACACAGCAACAGACACTAATGCATATACAACACAGCAACAGACAGTAATGCATATACAACACAGCAACAGACACTAATGCATATACAACACAGCAACAGACACTAATGCATATACAACACAGCAACAGACACTAAAGCATATACAACACAGCAACAGACACTAATGCATGTACAACACAGCAACAGACACTAATGCATATACAACACAGCAACACACACTAATGCATATACAACACAGCAACACACACTAATGCAAAAACAACACAGCAACAGACACTAATGCATATACAACACAGCAACAGACACTAATGCATATACAACACAGCAACAGACACTAATGCATATACAACACAGCAACAGACACTAACGCATATACAACACAGCAACACACACTAATGCATATACAACACAGCAACAGACACTAAAGCATATACAACACAGCAACAGACACTAATGCATATACAACACAGCAACAGACACTAATGCATATACAACACAGCAACACACACTAATGCATATACAACACAGCAACAGACACTAAAGCATATACAACACAGCAACAGACACTAATGCATATACAACACAGCAACACACACTAATGCATATACAACACAGCAACAGACACTAAAGCATATACAACACAGCAACACACACTAATGCATATACAACACTGCAACAGACACTAATGCATATACAACACAGCAACACACACTAATGCATATACAACACAGCAACAGACACTAAAGCATATACAACACAGCAACACACACTAATGCATATACAACACTGCAACAGACACTAATGCATATACAACACAGCAACAGACACTAATGCATATACAACACAGCAACACACACTAATGCATATACAACAGTTCAATAGTCACAATTTAAATCAAAAGCTTCCTCTTCAAAGAAGCTGGTTGAACGTGATTTTTTTTTTTTGCACAGCAAGCCAAGCCAACTACCTTCTCTAGTTCCCTTCACTGTGTATTTTCTGGTGTGCCTTGCATCTGTGGCTTAGGTGTTGTGAATGCGCTTTTAACTGTAGTGCTGGGTTCAATCCAAGCTGCTGCAGTTTGGCAGCAGATGGCCTTGCACTGGTTTCAACTGTGGTATTAGGAGCTGCCCATTTAAAAAAAACATGGTAAACACCTGAACGTAAAATTGCCTAGTGAAATTACGAACAACTAAAAAAAATTGGTGGTGTTGGTTCTGCAACGTCTTGTAAAAGACACACAACTGACTTTAATTTAGGATAAGCTGAAACATAATGAATCCACACAGGAGTTACAGAAAAATATTACTCTCACAAACTGATTGAAGATATCAAAGAGCTTATAACAAAAGCCTAGATCATATCTGACAACAAAACGATAGTCTGAGAAATGCCAGAAGATGAAAGTAGACTGTTACCTTTAGCAGCAATCCAAGCCTGGTAAGCAGGGGAGTTGTGGTAAGCCTTTATAGCATCTGTATACTGGACCTGCAAGACAAGAAATCCATGGTTGTTACTCCAGTTTACTACATCATCATCTTGCTGAGTGGGATGGAGCAGTTCATGTGCTAGCCACCCTCCACACCATGACAGAAGGCTGTCAAGAATCTTCTCACACTGTCTTCCTCTTCCTCCATAGATCTTTCCAGTGGTTACAATATTTTCCAGTTTCCCTTTCCAGTGGACATCTGTTTTACAGATCTGGCTTACCTGTATGCAGACTATTGGTTCCTTGTCTTTCAGGCAGATGCACTCTGACTTTGAAGTAGACATTATTAATTAGTCACCACCTACAACCAGTGTTGCCACTTTTCTATGACAAAAAATATCCAAAACTGTGTCAAAAAATATCTCAAAAGATCTAAATCTGCGTGGAAAAGATCTAGCTTGGATAATGAAGTTGAAGCTTCAGATCCAAAATGACCCTGGTATGCTTTAGCTGTTCAAATTTCTTATAAGTGGAACAGTAGGCTTATTTCTCTGGTCTCATCAGGCCTAATTTTAATGGCACGATAGCATTTAAGAGGTCAAATTTCATCCTATTTTTAGGTTAGATTTGATATAATTCCTAGCACTGAAAACTCTTTCTACATCAGCATTTGAGTGGGGTAGTATCATGGCAGACATGGCCCTTTAAAGAGCTTACAGAATGGACTGTTTGATGAGGCATCTTTAAATTGTCTCACTTCACTCCAAAACGCTTTAGTTTCTGTTTTGTTTGTCCATTCAGCTAACTTTATTTTGATTAACTGATATTTTGCTTCAGCGACACTATTATCAGTTGCCCCTAAAAATGTCATAACTTTACAATATTTGTAAAATGTCCTTTATTGGCTGAAGTATATTGCTCACAGAAAAAAGTAAAATATTTTTCAAAACATCTAGATTTTCAGGAAGTCTGCTTTAGTTGCTTCAATAATGAGATAAAATCTTGACAGCGTTTTCTTAAGTTGTTCTCTTCATTCTCTGTTAACAGTCCTTTTGTTTTTAAATCATCAATTTTTGATTCTATTAAATATCCAAGGTGTGGCTTAGGAGCCAAATAGCTCTCTATAGTGCGAGTGAGCAAATCAGCTTTAGAAGTTGGCAACACCAATCTATTGCCGAGTGAAATAGCAAGGTGAGATCATCAAGTAAACTTTATCAACAAGTTTAGATTTGAACAGTTTATTAACTTTTTGCACTTCCATTAGAATAGGTTATAAAAAGAGAATGAATGACAAATTTTTTTCATCACTGTACATTCCATATAGTATTTCAGCTGTGTAGCACTTTTCACTTTGTCTTGTTATTTCAAAGTGGGTCTTCAACTTCAGCCATTGCTTCATAATTCTTTCAACAGCTGGTTAAATTGATAACCATCTAGTTTTGCAATCTGACAGAATTTTCGGTGGTGTGGAACCATCATTCAAGGCTGTATATAATGAATTGTATTGCTGTTGTCTGACAAATGATTTGGAAAACCAGTAAAGTGTTTCAGCAATAAGGTATTCTAAATTCCTTGGTAAGCATTTAGATGAAGCATGTGATAATGCTAGCTGCAATGAATGACGCATACATTTTATAAGTATTAACGATGGGTTAGCTTCCTTCAACTTGGCATAAACGCCATTGTTTATACCAACCATCACTGAGGCATTATCAGTGCCAATTACAGCAAAATTCTTCAAGCCTAACTGTTTGCTGATTAAAAGGTCCTTCAGTTCCTAAACTATACTTTCTACATCACACTTTTCAAATTGAACTAGTCCAAGATTTTTTTTACAAATCGATCAAATGGTCAGTTTGAAATTGCGCAGTGACAAATTAAAAACATTGCGACTGATACTTCAACTTTTGATGATTCATTTATCAGTATAGTTCTGAAAACAGATGTCAGCGGTGTAATATCTTTAAATGAAAGTGCAGTTTTATGCTTTTTTAGTCTTTGCATGAATCTTTGAGTTTTGTATTTTCGCTTTAACTTCACACTTGCAGTACTTACAACAAGCTTTGGTCATATCCCCAGTTTTTAATTTTGTCATCATGCAACCACTCTTTCCAAATTTTTTGCTCATACTTTACCTTTGGCATGTTGAAAGGTTTTTTTCAAAGTGAAAGCCACATAAGAAGGTGAGCAATTATTTTTTTTAATCACATGAAAAAACACACGCAAAGTCAGCACAGTGAGGATACAGTTGAAACAAAGTTAGTATGATTTACGCGTGTTCTTATTAATCAGTACCGGGGCTGCCAGATATTTGTGCGTTGACCCCAGTGAAAGTTCAAAGTTCAAGTAATGGCAGTTGTCACAATGTACGTGCCAGACCAAAACAAAAATAGTGTAGTACATATTTTACACAGTAATTATTAAACTGACAATGAAAGAAAACAAATCTATAAAATATCTTACTCCATATGAAAAGCATCTAGAAAATATTTACGATCTAAACGTCAAAAACACAGTATCTAAATGCAATGAAAAAGATCTAAATTTTGATATAAAAGATCCAAAGTGGCAACACTGCCTACAACCTGCAGGGGGCATTGGCTTTATTATTTGTCCTTTAAAATGGAGCCCTTGAACCTACTTAGGGAATTTATCTACTGAAAGTTAACCAAATTCAGACACAATCTCACCTTTTCCACCTCGTATTCATCTTGAAACTCTTGCTTTTCCTGTTCAGACAGGTCTCTCCACATCTGACCAATGATCTTGCCAATCTCCCAGAGCTTCAGGTCAGGGTTCTGGGCCTTGACTTGCTCCCATACCTGCATAAGAAACACCAGCACAATTACACTGTACAAGGACAATGGGGAGCAGCTCGTCTAGCTCCCACACAACAAGCCACAGAAGCTACAGTTTCTCATATTACAGGGTCTTGACTTACGAACTAGTTCTGTTCTGACTAAATGGTCATAAATCGAACTTATATTTTTAAACACTAATTTCCTTCAAACAGGTTATGAACATTGTACATAAAATGCATTTAATATATGTTAAATATAATTAGTTTACATAACGATATCAGTTCCCGGGAAATGTTGACACTACTAAAGTAGTCTTCATTCACAATTTTTTTTTGGGGTCGTCGTTAAGTGCAGATGATCGTAAATCACACAGGTCGTAAGTTGAGGAGATGGCATACTGAGGATTTATCTAAGAAAGGTGGGGCTACGAAGCTGTGGTGGCATAGTGCCTTGACTGTCACCTGCAGCCTCAAGAGGTGAATGTTTTTCAAAACTGACCCTGGCTCTCAGGTTGATCCAGCCTGGGAAATAAAGGCAGTGGACCAGACACTGACCACACCACCCACCAAGTACAGGCTTGTCTATTAAAAACTAAGTCTAGTATTCTCTGCCTAATGCGCCACTAGCATAAAAAATGCCATTTAGTGTTGAACATTGCTCATCCAGGCAAAAGACAAACATCAAACAATGAATTAAAGCACATATGTTCTTCTTAAATGCTCAAATTTTGTCATCTTATTCTGCCTTTGATCCACCAACAGAACATAGACACTCAACTAAAACACTAAGTTGTCTCACCCTATGTTTTTAACTTCACACTCTTGCTCCTTTCTCCATGTGCTTTTTGGTCTGCCTTCATTTCTATGACACTGTTCGAGGATTCCAGCGTAAAGACATTCTAGTTATATTGTTCTCAGTCAGGTTATCTCAACGTGTGTCCTATCCAATGTCCACTGTTTTTCTTCACCTCATGATTCACATAACTACTTTGGTTCTCTGCCAAAGCTCCACATTAGCGATTCTACCATATTAAATTCCCTCTATTTTGAGCAAGCTATAGTTAATGATAATTTCCCTACTCTGTATTATAACTCAGACTGCAACATTTTAATACAATGCAAGCTAGAAAGGTTCCCCCTTCATTCTGTAATATGCAAATGTCTTCAAGGTTGTTCTTGTGCAAAGTGATTGTATTTTCTGAAAGAATATCACTGATCGTGAGTAAGTAAAAGTAAAGAACGAACTCTTGTTATGCCTTTGGTACAGTGGGTATACAGTGCTTTATCTAAAGTTTAATGGACCAATAGGCACTCGATGGGTGATGTGGCATTAGCACGCCGGCCACCTTTACTACAATGGTACTCGTGCTAGGCTAGGTTGACCTGAAAGCCAAGGCCAATTCTGAAACAAACCTACATCTATGCTGATTCCAACACAAGACTTTCGGGCCAGCAGGTGAGTGTCTAGTTGCTGCGTTACCAATGCTTCCATGAGGGAAATTAAATTTCTAAAAAATTGAACCTACATAAAGTGGTTGCTTAAAAAAGAAGAAAGTGAACATAACAAGACCCATTTAAATACAATAACAGCACCTTTACATTAAAAAAAAATGTTTATGTTTAAACATGTTGTTAAGTTACCAAGACAAGGCACATATAAGCCACAATGAACAGGCATGCAAGACAACTACAAGCAAATGATTTCTCTAACATATTTCGGGTAATCTGAATGGTATTAATTTTCTTGCAAGGCAGCAAATTAATGTTAATGGATGATGATAATTTTACATAACCTGGTTGTTACAGCAGGTTACACATTCATTTATCAAGTTACTGGAGATTTTAATTGGGTTGCAAGAATTACAGGAATGTCACAGAAAGTTATACAGGTTTTTGAGAATTATTAGACTCGCGCAGTCTGGTATATGTCATACAATAAATTTATGGTACATTACAATAAATTAAACATTACTTAAACTTAAAAAGATTAATTGCATAATTTAAACGATCGGCTTTATAAAATTTAGAAAATGAAAAACTAAACAAACAATAACAAGAAAGAAATACTTAGATGTTATATTAATCCACTTTCTCATAGTTATTATTTTAACTCTTCTAACCCAAACACTTTATTTAAAAGTAACAAGTGCTGGAGAGAGAAAGACTGAAGAGAAACTGTAATGGTGAAAGTTGGAGTTATCTGCCCATGCTGATTTAGAAACTGTTTTGTGAGCAACTGTCCTTGACTGTTTCTTTATATGTTCTACTTTTCTTTTGAATATTTAAGGAGCTTACAATCTAAACATGCTAAATGCATTTCTTACACACAGGTGTAGATCACTGACATATATATTACTGATAGAAAAGTTTACACTACAGACTAATTTAAACGTTTACATCATACTAAAAGAAAAAACATTACAGTTTAAGTTTGTGTAACTGAAAAGAAATTAATGCTATCAATATAAGTGATTAGAAATCTCAAATGAAATTGTAAACTCAAATGGTTACTAGTGCACGCTTTAAAATAATAGACCACAGAGCAGCAAAAGCTATGAAACGAAAACAAACATGCAATCTGGAACAGTCTGCCCACCGATGTTTTTATTACATCATTTTACAAATCTTCACATCACATACATTTTCAGTGTCTGGTAGTTGCCACAGGTATACCAAAGACAGAATATGTTATGTACATCTAGCAATTTGTGGGCTTGTTTTGCAATACATGGTGCATGAACCTAGGACTAAGACTACGCATCATTCTTGGATTAATAAAGTACAATGTAATATAAACATTTTCAATATGCAATAAGGAATGAAAGTGAAAACCAACAAACTTTCAAGCTAGGTTTATAACAGTCTAATTTGTCACACACACACACAAAAACACTACACTAGACTGCATACTAAATATAAACTATTTTACAGGAAAAGAGACTCAAGTTTTACAATTCTACAATTTTTCCCTTTCAATCACAGCCACTTATTAAAGGGATCTGGATATACTTGCCTCACGGGAATGATATAATAATGGCCACGAAAAGTCTAGTCACTTTTGGTTGTGACACAGCCCCGTAAATTTCAATATTTCGCGCATTTCTCCAGTGACCTGTTCTAAACAAGCGTAGGTAAATGCCACTGGCTCTATGTGCAGAAGGCCCGGCTCTCTAGCGTAGTTTGCTAAACTGGATTGTGCGGAGACCGGGTGACGAACTCCTTGTCGTCTGGGTTCACTCCAGGGGGTATGCAGAAAAGCCAAATTTCTCCCAGATTTACGGTATTTACAATGGAATCAAGGCCAAAAGGTTGCGATATCCATAATACCGAGCCTAAGAGTTAACAACTCATGGCTTCTGGATACTAAAACAAACTATGTGCAGAAAAGTTTTTTTTGGGGGGAGGCCCAGATGTTAACATATTAGCTAAATATAACATTTATTTAACTAAGGGATTCCTTGTAAATCTAATCATCTAAACATGCTTGTTGTTGGGGAAGCAGTGGTTCTATTCTTGTTTTTCCTACAATGGGGCCCTGGAACCCACATGGGGCAATCACTTTTTTAAAGCCAGACTGACTGTGATTTTCAAATTTAGCCCTGGCAACAATCAATCTGGCACACATCTCTAACAATCAAGGGATGTTTAATGCTTGTGATGTGACCTGCTATTTATTTTTTGCTATTCTGAGCAGATGACCTTTTAGTGCCTCAAAGATCATGCATGTAATATATGTAACATTCGATTCTGCTAAATAAAAACGCGGTTTCCACTAGGTGGGCTGTATATAAATGACACGCGGCTCTGTGGCTTATGGGCTAACCAATGCTGTTATCAATTATCTGATCTTTGAGTGACAGGTTCCTTTCCTCTGGTGGATGGGGAAAATCTGTAAACATAGTGACTATAAGCAGTGGCCACCAGGCCACTATAAAAGCTCTGTACTGGTTGCAACAGCAGTGTGTAGAGGTGGTGGGTATAAGTAGATTTTTAAACAATTAATAGATATTATCTAAGACAGGGAAAAATCAATCGTGTGAAATTGAGGTAGTGGTGATGCCACAAGAATCTCATATGAGATTACTTTGATCAATGCAACGAAGTAATCTCCCCCCCCCCCCCCCCCCCATTCTGTTAAAGGGGAAAGCAAGCAAATTATTGTCATTGATACATCACAAGGTCGATGTGTTCAAGGCCCTTTGATAACAAGCGATGGAAAATGTAGAAAAACAAGATTATTATAGCCTGGAAAGAATGAGGCCCCTGGGTGTAACCAGAGGGTCTGGCTGGCTCATTCAGAGGAAAGGCAAGACGAACATATAATCAGATTGTGACCGGTACCATCAGTATTGGAACTGTGCTGGCTGCTGAAGATGAGGACAGAGCACACATGGGAATGCCCCAAGTGCTGTGATGTCAATTCTTGACTTGACTCAACACAAGCAGATTAAGCTCTGCAACGTTTGCACTTAGTGATTACTACCCTTCATGCAAAGCAATGCTGGTAAATTTAACAATGGGAGGGAGTTTTGTGTGTGTGTGTGTGTGTGTGAACTGGGGTGACGGAACTTTGATTTTAAATGAAGTACCACTAATTAGGTGGTCCTTGGCAACCCTTGCTAGGGATGCAGTGGATCTATTGTTTGTTCTCTAACATGCAGCCGTGGAACCCAAACAAGGAGTTACCATTTCTAAGACACTCTTGGTCCTTTGAGCTGAAGTTAAAATATATATATTCCTATCACTACAAGGGATCCAAACCCCACCACTGTAGCACTAACCACTATACTACCACTGCTTTCATGCATAATCTAATATAAAAAGAAAATGTTGCCAAACCCAAACTCACTCAACATATTTACAATCAACTAAAGCATACAATTATAGACCATCTTATAATATAGTTACAAACATTCATTAACTAGTGCCTGCACACACAAAAACTGGGAATCAAATGGTCTTACAGAATCACTAATGTTGAGCTTTGGGACAGAACTACACAAATTCCAGTGAAACAAGATAAGGACAAGAGGTTGGAGTTGGATGAAAAGCAAGCTGAGAAAACCAGAGAACAATATAACCAGAATGACTTTGCAGAGTGGTCTTGAGGCATGGCATCTGCCTTGAGTGATGGAGGTCCTGGGTTCAGGTCCCGGTGAAGGCTGGGATTTTTTCACGGGGAATTCTAGTAATTTCCCCTAGTCTCTGGATAGTAAGATCAGACGCCCGTGTGTATTGCTGCGCACGTTAAAAAATCCCTTGGCGGTTAGAAATTGTCAAAAGTAGCTTAACTGCGATGCCCGGGCAAAATTTTTAGTTTAGTATCTATCCAAAATATTTCAAGATCCTCGCTGGTGCTACAGAGTTTGTGCACTGCGCCGGGATTCTTCAGACTCAGGCTTGAGTTACTGGTAGGATGGAGCACTAATTGGTTACTACCCTTGTGCCATAATGTTGATCTGTTGAACCTAAACCTTAAAAAAACCTTAGACTTTGCACTGGAATTCACAAGGTCAACAGAATAGAAGCAGACACACACAGAGAAGTGACCACTAGAGAATGACGTGAAGAAGATATGGAGGACATGTGGTGAGCTACATGCACTACAGAAAGATTAGACTTGATGTTAGTGCAAATCACGACCCATGCTCCACTGCCAGATAAAGATCAAAAGAAAAATACAGTACAATGTTATGCAACAATAATTAATACTGCATTAACTTCATTGATCCCTTTGTGGGAAAACACCAAAACCATGCCTAAGAGTCGGTCGACTAATTGAGAGCTTCCTTTCAAGTCAGAGTACACCTGCCTGAGAGCATTAAAAAAAGCCAGACCTGTTAAACAGACTGCACACAACACTCAGGTCCTGGATCAAGACTAAAGTCAAGAGGTGGACGAATAACCAGAACTGTCCGCCCTGGGGAGGTGCTGGGGCTGCTCCCCAAAATAAATGCCTAACAGGGATGTTTTCTCTTTAAAGTCAAACTGCATCTGCCTGAGATACAAGAAACCAACAATACAAATAAGCCAAATCTGAAAACTGATGCACAAACAAACTTCAGGTTCTGAAACAAAGTCAAAGTTTAGAAATGGACAAACAACCAGGACTTTCCACCAGTTGAACCCTCTGAACATTTGGATCCTCATTCACAAACAGGTAATATAGATAGATCTACAGTACAAGCAGCAGCAAACCTAGGAAACAATACCAGTATCATCACAACAAGCTTACATCTACATCACAACACCAGATTTACTTTTAACTAACAGACATCAAATGTACAACACCATCAAATGTACAACACCCACGTTACAACTATGGCACCACGTTACAACTATGGCACCACGTTACAACTATGGCACCACGTTACAACTATGGCACCACGTTACAACTATGGCACCACGTTACAACTATGGCACCACGTTACAACTATGGCACCACTGTCTGATAAGACCAAGACTACCAACAAACCAACATAACTTATGAGTTAAGAACTGACATCATAACACTCTGGACATTCCCATTAGAGCTCTGAATACATTTTCATTAGGCAAGCACAGAGTTCCAATTCTGATGGTAACAGTCTGATCGTCTCACCCCTCCCCTAACTGATGAGCGCCAGCCAGATCCCTTTCTCAAACCTAGCAGCACCAGTCTCTTCAGACAGTGACGACCTATATGTGGCTTTGAACTGTTTACTCGCTCCCAAGGAGCCCTTGTAATATCTAACTCGTCATGCAACAGTCTCTCACCACAAACATGCCAACAGCAAAACCTTCTACTGACAGTAATCTACCAGGGTGTCACAGTACCGAGATGCCTACAGCAAAACCTTCTCCTGATAGTAATCTACCACAGTGTCACAGTATCAAGATGCCAACAGCAAAACCTTTTACTGACAGTAATCTACCAGGGTGTCACAGTATAAAGATGTCAAGCCTATGGTCTTATCTTTCTTTACCTCCTCTTTCAATGCTTTGGGAGTTGATGGAGATACAAGGTTCTGCTTCTTGCTCTTCTGGCCACCTCGACCAAAGACACATCGTGCTGCTGTAGTGTTTTTCTGTTTTATCTTTTCATCTCGTTCTTAATCTACCTTGTGCTCTTCATCCATCTCTTCTTTTCATGTCTGCTTTGAATGGCATAACGATACAAAGCAAGTGTGTAAACCATTGAATTTGCTACCTCTGTGTGTAATTTAGAATCAGCACTGTGCCGACATTTTCTCTCATGACCTCATTCCTGATTTTATTTCTTTGGGTCACTCATGCAGCCCTTCTCCACGGTTACTTTCTTTTCTGGTTTGTTATGAGAGACCATATCTGGCATGGGTAGCATAGGATAGGAATGAATATGCTTTGTATGAGATGTTTCTTCATGCTTATCATCTGTTGTTTATGGCATCATATTCATCATTAGCACCCAGTGCTACTTCTGAATGTAAACAAAAATCTACACCAAACGTTCTGTTTTGAAAGTGCCCTCAGACACCCTTATAATGCATCTCATGAGGTTGTCCATCCTGATTCAACTATGTCTGGCTACTGCAAACGTGCTTTCCACTCTTTCCTACACCACGTCATTACAAAAAAAGAGCTATATCTCTTTATAAAGTCAAAGTAGGCCAGGTATCTTCTCTCTGGATGATATTCTTCTTCAATCCTTCTGTCAAAAAACTTATATCAGGAGGCCTGCAGCCTCTGTGAAAGCAATTGTGCAGTCCATATCTCCTCGTATACCTCACAGCTTTGTCTTCATTGTGGTTGGAACAGACCAGATATCTCTGGATGATGAAATCTGTTAAAATGTACTCTTTAGCTCCTTTAGTGCTCACTATTTTCATGAGACATGAGATCCATTTTGTGAGGGTGTGCAAATCTTACTCTATGAATTCCTTACCCATATCTTCACCTCATCTTAAATGCCCAAATTGCTTAATTATCTTTTATTTCTATAGGTCAGGATAACCCACCTGTTTCAAAACCCAGTTCCTGTATGACAGAACTCCATGTATTTTTTAGCCCAACACATTGTATGACTCTTTTGTAAAAGAAATGTGCTTTTAAACTGATTTTGTTATATTTACAAACTTCACATTTGTGCAGTAACAGTGCCGGAGATTTAGAACTTGTTTCATAATTCTGTCATAAGGGATTCAAAGTCAGCTGCAAGCATTTTGGCTGTAGAATGCTTTGCACCAATTTTGACAACGGTATGGGCGCGTACCATCCAGAAAGCAATGGCAAACTACTGAACATAAAATTGTGTTGCCTATCACTTAGGATTATGAGCAATGCTATTTACAGGTGTCTTTTCAGTACAAAGTACAGTTCCTGGCACATATATCAGTTTACCAATGTGGGAAAATATTAACATCCTTTACACATTAGTGTTAACAGTCATTCATGCGGCATTTGTTAAAACATAAAAGGTTAATAGCAACTAGTAGTACAGAAATATTACTCAGCGAACAACGTCAAGCAGTTAAATATCCATAGCAGTAACTGAAAGGGTGGGAAGACATAAATGTTCTTTCTTCTCAGTTCACTGAAGACCCTGCCCATAGAGTCTAGAGATAGTTAATGGCGACAGACAAAACTATATACATTTACAACTAGTTTTTTTATTTTTATTGCTATCTTGGCCGCTCATGCACCATTAAGCCACAATATACTGATAGATGTACAAACACATTCGCTGGTCTTTGTGGGTACATGATTATAAACAGGGGCTGATAAACTATGAGCACAATGAGAAAGTTGCATTTTACACATCCGGTTGAGGTTCTCATGTATTCTTTGTGTATTGCAACAATTAAACATCAGCAGGTACAACTAAATCAACAGCTGACTGTTAAAACTTGGATATCCTAGGATTTGGAAAATGCATATTCTGTTGGCGAGATAGAATTATCACTTCTCATTTGTTGCTCATTTTTTACAGACCCCTGACTTTTAACCAAGGAAAACCTCCAGTGCACTAGAAAATAAAAACATAAAATATGCTCATCTATAACAAAAACTGTCACAATTTTTTTTTACATCAAATTAACTCACATCTGTTTATACTCTGAAAGACTGGTTAAATCTGCCAGAATTTGTAATATGCAGTTTCAAAGTTTTAAAGATACATTTTAATTAAAAATGCTTTTAAAAAAGGTAATTGTGGCTGCATATTATTTTGTACTGCAATCACATATTTCATTTAAACCCCAAAGCTGATAAAATATCTTTAACAAATTGAATCTCTTTGACATTAGTCACCATCAAGTTTAAAAAAAAAAAAATTCAACAGCCCCAATGTGTAATTCAGAATTTAACATTAACAATCTATCTAATACTTAACTTTATGTGAAAAGAATTTTCAGGGTTAAATGTTAAGATAAATGAAATTTATAGAAACATTTGATCATTTGATCAAAAATACCTCCATCGCACATTACACATAAAAAAAAAAAATCTAAACCAGAAGAGTTATCTTAAGTCAAGTTTCAGCTCTTAGCTTTAATATTAGTTCACATCACACAACAAAGTGAAAATTAGAACTGCACTGAGGTTTCACTACCGTCTTCAGGATGCAACTACCACAACACCGAAAACTGGATGGACACGACTTGCAAAATGAAAATCAGTGGACAAACCTTTCCTATTACCTTTCTGCTGTATCGCATATAGGGCATGAGGGGCTTGTCTGGGGGCTTCGGAGGTTTGGGCACACGACCTTCAGACTAACAGAGAAAAAGAACAAGATTGTGCAGGTTAATCCACTGCTGTATTTACTAGTATGAGCAGATGAATGATTACAAAATTAGCAATGTTGTAATTGAGACATTCTCACTTATCCTCTATTCCTTTATTCAGTAGCCAGTGAAGAGTTCCCATGCTGATGTGGCAGTGGCAAATTGATCAAAACCACCTACTCGTTTTCCTTGTGCACTGTCATTCACACCATCTGCTTATTCCTTGCCCAATCAGTCTCCTGGGGTATGTACACTTGCTCTGCTGCACTATCCAACTGATTCCAGAGTCTTCACTACATTTGCTTAATGATAAAGTAGTGTACAGCCTAGAGGAGTGGCAGCAGCCAATGTGTCAGCCTTCTCAGTAACATACATAACAGTAAAAGTTAAATAAAGGACCTCCCCCCTTTTCCCCCTTCTTTTACATTTAGAGCCATATGTACCATTAGAGTATTGGTTGTATTGTCAGTAAAAAGTAAAAGTAAATAACACATTCCCATGCCTTCAGGTGTATTAGGCATATAGGGCTAGATCTGTATTTTATAGATCTTTCTTTGGCAGGGGGATGTTATTTTCTTGTTAACTTCTCTTCTCTTATACAGAGATGTAAAACTTTAAAGTTTACCAATATAAATTTTTGTTTAAATAGGAAGGTTTACTTACAGCGCCGGATACTCTAGCAGCCTGTGAAAGAAAAAGATCAAAAAAATTCCAGGGGCTGATTTTATTATTACCACACCTGAAGCCATTAGTCTTTCATCTAACACTAAATTGATATTAGTGACTATGAAACTTATAACGTCATACACTAGGGCCATTCAAGTGAGCTTAATCGGTGGCCAAAATGAGGATCGTCATGAGCAAGAGGCCTGACTCGCAGCGCAGATAGATCATTCTTCTTCTTCTTAAAGTCCATGTCATGTAGCGTTGGTAGTCATGTCTATCCACAATCTTCCGTCTCATGTACTTTCAATCAACTTTGACAAGATGATCCTCCATGCCATGATGTCAAACTGCCCAGCGTCTGTTCTCTGGGTGTCCCTCTGCCTCTCCTCCCCTCCAACTTTCCTACTGTCATGATGTACTCCAATTTCCTCCTCCTCATCACATGACCAAAACATTAAGAATCTTTCTGATGTGGGCAATCAGTTCTTTTCGTGAGTCAGTTACTTCTAAAACGTCTTCATTACTCTTTTTATCTGTCCAGGGTATTCTCATAATTTGTCTATAAAACCACGTATCCGTAGCTTCCACATAATGTGAAAGATCACTATTACTATCCAACTGGCAGGTGATCCATGGGCCACTTTCTAGGTATCTGTGAAACACCAGCTCAACAGCTCTGTCATACACTGTAACAATTATTTTAAAATACAAAACTGTGTGTGGAAGGTGAGGATGAAGACTGACCAGACAATCTGTAAAGCTCCTGATACATAATTGACTGAAATGTGTGGGTGTGGGTTCCAGGGCCCTACTGTAGATATTTTAAACAGATGGGCATGCAACACTCAGGTTCTGGAATAAAAGACTAAAGTCCAGAGGTAGACAAACAACAGAACTTTGTGCCGGAGTTTGCAGCCAGTAAACAAGAAGAAGATTGAAATTTATGCTAGTAGAGTTAATGTGGGTGAAAACTGTTAATTACAATAATATCAACAAGACGATACCATTTTGCCAAAAAATTAAATTGACTGAAATATTAATATAAATGGTAAATAATTTAAACGAGGAAGGATTAACATTAATATTATTATGCAGTTTTAACCCTCTGGGGACAAAGCAGCCAAAATATCGGCCCGACACAAAGTAGCCAAAAAGACGACTGGGCCGATTGGTCAGCCCTATGTAATACAAGCCTTGAGAATGGCTGGCAGGTTTCTGTACCAGCCAATCAGATTGCTTCTCCCATTTCTCACACGTGTCCTGTTCACTTACAACTTTCGAGAAAGTTTGATGTTTTCCGTAATTGTACATCAATTTTTTTCTGGGGTTACCAGTGCTCAACAATGACAAAAAGGACTGCTGTGTCTTAGCAACCGAAACATAGCTGGCGGCAGGAAAATGAGTAGAACCATGTGCCAGAAGTGTCTCCAAGGGCCTTAATTCCCAAAACACAAGTGTTAGGACTTATTCAAGCTTCATCCATTTAAAAAATTCACCTAAATTATTTAGGTTAGTCATGTTTGTTCCCAAGTTTTAAAAAAAAAATACTTGCATAAATTATGCAAATCAGAATAGTTAATTTGAATAAATTTTGAGATTTCAGTTTGATTCATAAATATTCTGTTAGCTCATTAAATTTCCTACACGAATATATATAGTTTTCTAATTAAATGCTTTAATTTTTTTTTTGTATAATTTTTGTGTATAAACTGTGAGATCCCCTCCTGAAGGCTTTGTCTTTTTGGCACTGACAAAAAGCTCCCGGTCCCGGGGGTTAAAAATGGGTTTAAAAGCAAGAGCTTCAGAGAATTCCCCTATACTGCTCAGGTTCTCTTGAGTCAGCCACTGTTTGCTAAGAACATGACACAAAGCATCTAACTATATAGTTTTAGTGACAGGAAGCACAGATGCTCAACCACATGCTGTGGTGAACAAGACCAAGGCCCACTATTGTTAAGACCTATCAACACTTTCTTTCATCATCCCTTAATTAAAATTTGATTTTAAACAAATACCATGTATTATGATTATTTATCTGAATTATTTTGTGAAAGTGAAATCACTTACAGCTGCTGCACCCCTGGATTTTGTAGGGTTAAAGTTTGGATGTCCATGTGGTGATGGTAGAAAAGGAGTTGAGCTGCTTCGTTCCTGCTAAGAAAAAAAAATATTATATAGTGACCAATGTACATAATTTAATCACATTATCTGCTATTTTTTTTTTCAGCATCAACATTTTCTTCTTATAGTTTATACTATGTGACTTTAAGCCCACTGCCTTCTGTTCTGACAATTACTTCTGATACATTCTTCCCTACCAAGAGGCCAGGCCGAAGTGCCCAACAGCTCTTCTCTGCATTCACTGGCTGTAAAATTCAGCAGACAGTTCTCGGCGTTTGTCCACCTCCAGACTTGAGTCCTGTTCCAGAATCTGAGTGTTGTGTGCACATCTGTTTTACAGACCTGGTTTAATTGTATGCAGTCTCTTAGTTCCTTGCCTCTCAGGCAGATGCACTCTGACTTAAAAGAATGAATCCAATTAGTCGACTCCTACAACATGCTTGTTTCCCCCTCAATGGGACTCTGGAACCCACACAGGGAGCCCAATAGCATCTCTGTTGTTCTTCCCCGCCCTCTTCCAGTCAAGCTTTCCTGCTGTTGTGAAGTACTCCAGTATTCCTTCTTAGCATGCAGTGGATGCTGCCCAATTAGTCGACTCAGAGGACATGCTTGTTGGAGAGGCAGTAGGTCTACTCTTCTACACTCATCTTTCCCCACAATGGGGCTATGGAACCCACATAGGGCATCCCTCCTGCCCTCTTCCTATCAAGCTTTCTTGTTGTTGTAAAGCAATCTAGTTTGCCCTCTCTGCATGAAGTGCCCAGAGAACTTGGATTGTCTGCATCTAATGCATATAATTAGTTCTTTTTGTCAATTAATTTTAAGTCATTCTTGCAGTTTTCAACATCAACTCTAACAAATAAAATACAAGAGTATGTACTATGTCACATATGTAATAATTTTCAGCTAACACTACTTGAAGTTATGTAAACATTTTATCTACAGTGTATGAGACAGCATGACATTCTTACATCGAATATACATATGCCCTTTCTCTTTTCTATTCCACTGATCTCAAGAGCTGCTAGACTTAGCTTCAGGCAAAACCTCTAAAACAAACAAGTTAATGTGCAAGAACCACAATAAGCACAGTTGAACAGAAAAAATTGTTTTCCTTGCAGGTAATCAGAGCAGTTAAATCCACGGGAAGGCAAAGTATTTAAAAACTGTCTATTAAATCAGGATGCACAAGGCCACAGACATAAGGAACAGTTGAACGTACTTTTTTCTACATACATTGTGCTATAGAATTTGTATAATACTTGTAATGCTAGGATCTGACTCAAAAACTAAATGCCCACTCATTCTATTGATGTAATGCCAGGACATTTTTCTTCTACTGATGATCAAAATATGGTACACCAAATGTTTGAAATACTACAGCATCCGATTAGGGAATAACGGTAATTCAGCAAACAAACACAGATGAACAAAGTGAATAGACTGCTTAGTGTAGTGGGTACTTTTTCTTACTATTCTTGTGTGAATGTCTTACTGAATGACATGAGTGATTATTATTGACTGCATATCATATCTTGTGTTTGTTATCAAAATATGATCATATGATCTTTCCATATCACGAGGGATGGCAATCTAAATTATTTCCTATTTGTTGTCTTCTCACTAAGTAAAAAAGTAGGCGCTCACTGTTGGGATACATTTTCACATAGAGGGACATAATTTAGTCTCAGACAAGAAAGATGTTTTATCTAGGTGACTTGAAATAAAACCCTAGCTGGCAAACTAAAAGACAACTGCCTATGTAGTCTTAAATCAACAGACGAATTAAAGCTCACCTTTTCTGATGTGTTTGGAGTTCCCACAGGGGCTCTGGATTTTTCTGTGGATAATCAATATGAACACTGGCATAGTTGTAAAGTGACAGTTACCATATTAACATATAGTAAAATAAGTAAAGGACCCTTTTCCATACCATCAGGCATATAAGGTATATATAGGGTATAGAGAGCTATATCTATATTTTAGACCAATAGGCATTCGACTGGTAAAGTTGTCAACATAATGCCTCTACTTCCCAGGACTTTGCTTGATATCCACTTAAGACTGAGTCAACCAGAGAGCCGAGGTTATGAAATAAGTCTGGCTCCATCAGGGCCACATGTTGATGTATGGTACCCCCGTGTGGGTTCCGGGGCCCCATTGCGGGGAAAACAAGAACAGACCCACTGCCTCCCCAAAAGCATGTCGTAAGAGTCGACTAATTGGGGAGCTTCCTTTGAAGTTGTAGTGCATCTGCTGGAGAGGCAAGGAACAGTCTGTATTTGAGTGAAACAGATCTGTAAAACTGATGCACACCCAACACTCAGGTTCTGGAGCAGGACTGCAGTTCAAAAGTGGATGAGCAACCAGAACTTTTCGCCAGAGTGTGCAGCTGGTGAACGCGAAGAAGAAGATGTATGGAAGAGTTAAACACTAACATAAAGTAATTGTAAATTGTACACAGAGTAATGTCAAAAAGTATTATACTCATTCTGAAAATTATCTGTGAAAACTAGTAACCTTAAAATATTTTTGAAGATAAATTGTGAAGACAGCTTATCACCAGTCATCATATTCGTCACATTATCAGAAGAGAAGAAAGTGACTCTGTTGAGATAACTGGAAAAATTAAAACCCTCTTTTCAATCCAGTGGGCATCGGACATATATGATAGGCTCATATTTTTAGACCAATCGGTGCTGGTGGGTGAGGAAATATCAAGCCAGCCGACTTGACTTCCAGGAAATTACCTAGTACCCAATTTACAATTTAGGCTGGGCCTACCTAGGAAACAATAGCTCGTTGTGTGTCCTTTACAGGATGCGGCAGGACCAACCCTAACATTTTTTTGGCTGTGGGTTTTCTAGGCAAATTTACGTACAGTAGTTTGCCACTGC